CCAGTGGCACAGTGGTTAAGTTCACGCACTCCGCTTCAGCAGCTCAGGCTTCATGGGTTTGGATCCTGGGCACAGAACCATGCACTGCTCATCAAGCCATGCTGTGGCAGCATCCCACACACAAAATAAAGGAAGATTGGCACAAATGTTGGATCAAGGCCAATCTTCCTCACCAAAAACAAAGAGAAAAAAACAGTGAAATTAATTACAACAATATATTTTATCTAACCCAATATATCTAAAATATAATCATTTCAACATGTAATCAATATGAAAAAAATTAACCCGTTATTTTATGTTCTTTCCTTACTAAGTCTTTGAAATCCAGAGTGTGTTTCACATTTACAGCGCATCTCCGTTCAGAGCAGCCACACTTCAAAGCTCAGTAGCCACATGTGGCTACTAGCTACCATATTGGACAGCACAGGGCTAGAATCTTTTTCAATCCATAGCTCACCTTAGGGGGATGAGACTTTCCTTCCCCCGGGAAAGCTGTCCTGATCCTAGACACGGAGTGACAAGTTCCCTGTAAGCCCGGGGCAAGGAGCCCGAGGCCGCAGTGGAGAGAAACCCAAGCCTGCCTGGGCCCAGGAGGCGGGTGGCTGCTGCGAATGCTTCCTGCTCCTCTGCTCCCCATTACTCAGCAAAGCCCTTGGGAGGGAGACAACTCTGCTTTTCCTCCTAACACAAAGTTTCCCTTAATTGGAAATTCAGTCTAAGCTTAAAACCGAGCCAGGCAGCCGCCCCCTCCCGCCAATGGCACCAGCCCTGCGGGCGTAGGGAACACATTCCTCAGACACACGAGGACTCCAGGTCTCCCCAGTGCTCCCCCGGAGCAGCACCACGTGGAGGAAGCTGGACACCACCCTCTCGCTCCGGAGACTCAGTTCCCGTCTTGGGCCTGGCAGACTTCTAGCAGGGAGCTCAACACCTTCACATTCAAGGGCTTAGGCGTTACAGGAAGCACTAGAAGAGAAGGGAAGGCAAGGGGGCAGGCAGGGGCAAGATTCTGTCCCCAAGAGGCAAGAGCTTGGGAAAATCCCTCCTTCTCCCCAAGCTTGCACAGTCTCGCCTTTAAAATCGAACACATCAGGTGATGACAGTGAGTGCTGTCACTGCTGGCTGCTCTGTGCCAGGCACTTACAGGCATTCGCTCACCTACTCCTCAAAAGAACCCTAGGAGGAAAGAGGATCCAGGGTTCAGAGTGGTGAAGCAACTTGGGCTAGGTCCTACAGCTCCTGAGTAGAAGAGACAGAATTCCAACTTATAGTCTTCCGAATCAAGAGCCTAACCTCTACCTACTCTAAACTGTGCCATGTCCCGGGCTGCCCAGGACAGTCCTGGCTTGTGCCTCCAATAACTTTAGACACTGGGCATAATAATTTAAAAGGTGCCCTTTGGAAGAAGGGATAAATCGTCCTTACAGGAGAATTCCACACAATATATGTTGACACCCCTCCCTCTGGAGCTTAATTCCAGACCCTTCTCCCTCTCAAGTATGGGCTGAACTTAATGTCTGGATTCCAAAGAACAGAGTATGGAAAGGGGAACATGGCAACTTTGCAGCAGAGAAACCTGGCAGACACCACCTTAACCACGTGATCAAGGTCAACGTCATCTGTGATAAGTCACGTCAAGTTCATGGCCCTGATACGATGTGGTGGAGGGGCACTTTACCTCTGTGGTCTTCTTCCCCAAAACCTATAACCTCAGTCTAATAATGAGATAAACATCAGACAAACCCAAATTGAGGGACGTTCTACAAAGTAGCTGACCAGTACTCCTCAACACTGTCAAGGGCACGAAAAACAAGGAAAGACTGAGAAACGGTCACAGGCCAGAGAAGACTCAGAAGGCTAGACAATCAAGTGAAAAATGGAATCCTGGAACAGGAAAAGGACAAACTAAGAAAATTTTGGAAAAACGAGTAAAATTCAAATAAAGTCTGGAGTTTAATTAATAGTAACGTATGGATGTCAGCTTTGATGAACGTATTTGGTACTGTAAGAAGTTAACGGTGCTCTAGTGGTTAAGAGTCAGCGCTCACATCAGTGAGGCCCAGGTTCACTTCCCTGTCAGGGAACCACACCACCCACCTGTCTGTTCTCATATTGTGGCGGCTGCGTGTTGCTGTGATGCCGAGAGATAGGACACTGGGATTTCAGAGACCAGCAGGGTCACCCACGGTGGACAGGTTTCAGCAGAGCTTCCAGACTAAGACAGACCAGGGAGAAGACCCGGCCACCCACTGCCAAAAAAGGTGGCCATGAAAACCCTGTGAACAGCAGCAGAGCACCGTCTGAGACGGCGCCGGAAGGGGAGAAGACAGAGCAAAAAGACCAAGCAGGGCCCCGCTCTGCTGAACACGGGGTCGCGAGGAGCTGGAATCGACTCAACAGCACTAATAACAACAGAAGTTCACACTGGGGAAACTGGGAGGAGGGTATGTGGGAACTCTCTATACTATCTTTGCAAGTTTTTTGTAAATCTAAAATTATTCCAACACAAAAGTTTCATTTTTAAAAGGTGCCCCGTTTTACTCCTAAAAGTGTCCAGATTTGGACAATCAATTATATGGTGACCTGTTTATAAGCCTGGCTCTGCCCCTAACCAAGAAATCTTAAAAAATTCACCTCTACCTTCTTTCTGCCTTAAGGATACTACCCGCTTGCACATCCGTGGCAATTTATAGCTTACAGAGTTTAGATACAGCAAGATGCGCTGGTCAAAGCTTTGGGGCCAGAAAGCCGGGGGCCGCAGCCCCGGTTCTCCCACTTGCTTGCCAGGTGGCCTCGGGCATATTACACTCTTCTCTGGGCCTCAGTTTCCACATCTGTAAAATGAACTCACTGAATGACGACAGTGACTAGTGATATTCACAGAGCCCTTGCTAGGTGTCCAGCACTGGAGTGGACACTGGGATGTGCCACCCAGTTTCAGGATGGAGGCCTTATTTCTCCCTGCTCCCCCAGCTGCTGCGTGCTCCCGGCTGTCAGCCCTGTCCAGCGATTGCCCCTGGCTGAGGAGGACTGTCCAGCCCCAGGACATGGTCCTTTCTGGAGGGTAGCCGGCACCCAGCGCAGAGGGTGGAAAGACCCAGATCCCTCGCCTCAACCTGGGACAACTCTGAAGGGCGTCTGCACCGCAGAGCCCCTGAGGTGGGCTGAGGCCTTTGCGGAGGCTGCCCTGGGGATGGTCTCCCTCTGCCCAGTCCTGCTCCCTTCCCTTCCCCACAAGCGTAGATCCTGACAGCATCCCCACAACCTCCCCGCACACTAATCTCCATCTCAGAGCCGGATTCCCGGGGAGCTGGCCCCGTGACACGACCGTGAAGCGCTGGACCTGCCCCATCTTTCTTAACTCTCAGGCCAACCCTATTTTTACAGATGAGACAACTGAGGTTGATTTAGCCAAGAACATACATGTGGTTGTGCCACAGAAGGGGAAACTAAAGAACAGACGGATAAACAGATCGGCCCAGGTCTCTGAGCTCAAAGACGGCAGATCCGGCCCTGAGTCTGCTTAACTTTGAAGACTGCAATGTCACAGCCTCCAGCCCAGGCCATCAGAGCCACCTGCAGGACTGCTATGGGCACCGGGACAGGTGTGTGCCTTTCACCGCCGTCCTACCACACCCGCTGTTGGCCCTGCAGCTCACTCCACATTGGCCAAAAGAGCATAATAACAGCACCTACTTCATCAACATCTTGTAAGGCTTCAACGAGTTAACATAAGACCTCAGAACAGCGACTGGCACATACGGGGCCCTTCATAAGCAGTAGGTTGAAAACAGGCCACATAAGCAACATAGAGCTGCAACAGGGAGACATCCTAAGAAGACGGCCACGCAGCTGAGTGAGAGGCAGCTTGTGACGGGGCCTGGGCCTCATCAGCTCTCTAAGGGAGTCAGGTCTGACTTGAGTCCAAAGCAGCAGTCGGAATTAAGTGGGCAGCAACAGGAAGGAAGAGCAGTCCAGGCCGAGGAACGAGCAGGAGCAAAAGCCGTCTGGCAGGAGGAGCTACAGACGGATGCTCAAAGGCCAGCGTGACTAGCACAGAGAAAAAAATCCAGGTCCAGGGCAAGAGCTGTGGAAAATGAAGCTGGAGAGGGGGGTAGGAACCAGATTACGAAGGGCCACTCACTACCTGGGTGATTTGGGACAAATCACTTTATTTCTCTGAGCCTCATTTAGCCCATCTGTAAAATGGAAATAAAAACAGGACTGATCTTATAAGGTCATTAAGGAGATTGAATGAGTCCATATTTGTAAAACACTTAAAATAGTGCTATGCACACAGTAGGTGCTATAAATGTTTGAAGACAACATTAGAACTTTTCTGAAGCACAATGAGAAGACACAGAGGGGTTTGAATATGGATGAAAGGGCGGGTGCTGAATGGATGCAGAGCTGGCGGATGGGCAGGTGGGAGGGGTAAGTGAATGGGCAGTGCGGATGGTTGTTGGATGGAAGTGTTGGGTGATGGCGGTGGTTAGAGGGATATGTGGTTGGATGACTGGGCAGGTGGGTGGGAGCAGATGTTGCTTCAGTGGATGGAAACAAGGTTGGAAGACAGGGTGGTTGGGTAAATGGAGGTGGCTAGGGGCACGGATGCATGGTTGGATGTTAGGATGGGCGGCTGGGGGGATGGGAGCAGTTGAGTGAATGCAGGTGGTTGGTCGACGAGAGGATGGATGGGTGGATGGATGGTTGTTCAGGTGGATGTTAGAGAGGATGAGTGACTGGAGGCTGTTGGACAGATAGAGGGGTTGGGTGAATGGACGGGTTAAGCAAATGGAGGATGGATGGGTGAACAGGTTGGGCGCCCCCGACCTACCACAGGTGATAAACACACCACCATATCCTGAAGCGCCTCCAACTAACCAACCCTCCAAAGGTCATGGGGGGAACACCTGACCTTGAGACATGACCTCCTGGGTCGCCCTGCCCCGGGACCCCTTCGGAGCGGCCCTCCCCTCTGCCCCATCCCGGGCTCCTACCTGGAGAGGGCGATCTCGGCCTTCTGGCGCGCGATGGCGGCGGCGCGCTGGGCGCCCTCCACGCCGTGCTCCACCTTCTGGCGGACCTTGCTGCTCTTGAGCGGCAGCACGCGGCGCTTGGTGCCCTTGACCAGCACGTTGTGGCGGTACTTGCCCTCCTCGCGGCGGCCGTCGGGCAGCGTGGTGCAGCCGTAGCCGTGGCGCAGGTTGTCCAGCCACTCGCCCTCGTACCGCAGGCCGCTGGAGCGCTCGCTCACGCCGAAGCCCGAGCGCTTGTCGTTCTTCCACTCGCCCATGTAGGTCTCGGTGGTGGTGGCGTCGATGTCGGCCTCGAAGGGCGCGGCGTCGTCGGCGCCCTCGGCGCCCTCGCCCAGGCTGCCGGTGGAGGCGGCGTCGCTGCCCGAGCTGAGGTCGCTCTTGAGGAAGCTCACGCGGCTGCGCTGGCTGCCCACGGACGTGCGCGACTCGGTGCGCCGCAGCCGGCGAGCACCGCGCGCGCGGGAACAGGCCGCGGGCCGGGCGCGCGGGGCGCGTCGCGTTGGCCAGCAGGCTGAGCGCGAAGCCGCCGCGCGGGATGGCGGGCGAGGGCAGCGGCGGGCCGTCCGAAGGCGGGCGACGTGGGCGAGTCCGGGCCCACCGTGCCGTTGCTGTGCTCGCTGCGCAGGGACGAGAGCGACGTGCGCAGCGGCGAGCGCACCACCACGGCCATCCCGTAGGGCACGCTCTGGCGCACGCCGTAGCCGTGGCGCATGCCGTTGGTGAACTGGCCTTGGTAAGTCCCTGCGGGCGAGGAGAGGGCGCGTCAGTGGGGCAGCACGACGGGGCCCCCGCCTGTGGGCCGCGACCCGCGGGGGGCGGGGGTGCCGGCAGGAGGGGGCCAGGCCGTCCGAGGGGCGAGGAGTTTGAAATTAGGAAAGTGGGGGAGGCTCTGAGTGTGTGAGGTTACCCGAGTGTGCAAGATAGGCGTTTGCGCAGTGATGTGAATATTTCTGTTGGTGGGAACATGGCAAGGTCACAAGTGCGCAAAATAGAGTGAGGTTATGCAAGGCAGAGCGTCAGTGTATGAAGTTGTGTGAGCAGGTGAGGCCCTGGGAGTGCACGAGGTTAAACGAGTGTTCAAGGACACGAGTGGACAAAGCAGAGGAGTTTGCATGATGGTGTATGTCTGTTGGTGGGAACACACCAAGATCTCTAGTGTGCAAAACAGGGCGAGGTTAAGTGAGTCAGTTTTAAACTGTGAAGTTATATGAGCAGGTGAGGCTCTGTGAGTGTGAACTTAAATGAGTGTGCACAGGTTTTGAACCACACAAGAGAGAATGAGTGTGCAAGAGCATGAGTGCCTAAGACAGTGAGTCTGTGTAGTAACGTGGATATTTGCATTGTGGGAGTGTGCAAGGTAGTGGAGGCCCAAAGTCATGAGTGTGCAAGGCAGTGCATGCACAGAGGGTGACTGAGATCACGCAAGTGTAACATAATGGGACCTTAACATAAGGTTATGAGAGCATTCGCGGTCTTCAGTGTGCAAGGAAAGGCCAGGTTGAGTGAGGGTACAAGACCTTGAGGGTCAAAGGGTGCAAAGGTATGTGAGCAGGCCAGGCACTGTGAGGTTAAACATGTGTGCATGGTTATCCTAGTGTGCAAGGTGATGCAAATGCGGAGGCTCATGAATGGATCAGACAGTGAGTTTGCACGGTAGTGTGAATGTTGGAGAGCATGGAACTGGGTTGGAAAGCATGGGAGAGTGTGTATTTGTGCAAGGCCGTGTGTATAGAGGACTTTTATGGGTGTGCATGTCAGTGTCTTTTGACAATATGAGATCATGAGTGCAATGCAGTGTGAACACAGTCGGGTGAGTGCCCAAGGTCCTGTGGAGGTGACATTATGGTTGTGTGAGAGGTTCTGAGTGTGCAAGGCCATCTGAGTGTTAAAGCACAAAGTAGTAGGAGGCACTTGAGGCTAAATGAGTGTGCGAGCTTGTGGGCATTAGTGAAGCAGACCAGGTAAGACCATGTGTATGCAGGACTGTGGTGTGTACAAGGAGATGTCAGCAATGAAGACCTCGCGGTCCATGAGTGTGAACATGTGACCTCCTGGGAACAAGACTCTGTAAGTGTGCCATGGTGTGAATAAGAGGCAGCACAGGGTAGTGGTTAGGAGCATAGACCCCAGAGCCAAGCTGCTGGGTCCAGATCTTCCCTCTGCCCTTACTAGCTGTGTAACCTTGGGCAAGTCACTTAACCTCTCTGTGCCTCAGCTTCCTCATCTGTCAAACAGAGATAATAATTGCCTCTTACCTTGTAGAGTTGTTTGAGGTTTAAATGAGTTACTGTCTCTGAAAAACTCTGGAAGGGAAGCTATGTGTGTGATACTGTGATTCTGCAGAGTTGTGCTAGTGTGTGAGGTCACCTGCGTTGTAGGAACAAGCTGATACAAAGCTGACAAGATATCTTCCTACTCCACCCCCATCCCACCCTGCTGTGCTCCCCAGGGCTCCACCCAAAACCTCCTCCCCATCCTCCTGGGTGATCGCGTCACCTCGTGTTTTTATAACTGCTGTCTGCGTCCTGCTGACTCCCCCGCATACATCCCAGCCCCTTCCCTTCCATTCTGCAGCTCCAGACGTCAACGTCAGCCTGGAGGTAGAAGCCCCCTCGAAGTTACACAGTCACCTCCAGCTCATCATCCCCCACCCCACACACCCTTGTGCTCCCTTCTTGATCTTTCTTTCCCACTGCAGCTCCCTGGAAAGCCAGGCCTGGCTTCATCTTTGCAGCTCCCGCATAGAGAACAGGGCCGGACACATAACGTTCACTGAATGGAGAGGGGAGATTCAGAGCCTTTGTCATAAACACAAGCGGAGACTTTCCCCTGGTTAACCACAAAAACCCAATGGCCTTCTCAACAAGTCCTCTGACCCGGGGTGGCTGGGTACCTGCATCCGTCAGCCAGGTAAGGGACTCCTAAGCTCAGCCCAACAGACACGCTTCCCTTTGGGCCTTTGCCCTGGCTGGTCCCTCTGCCTGGAACTCTTTTCTCCAGATATCCTTCAAGTCTTACTGTTTTTCTCCCCCAGCTGGAGTGGAAGCCCCACGAGGGCAGGGATCTTTCCTGTTTTGTCCTCTCATGTATCCCCCTCACCTGGAACAGTGCCCGGCACATACAGGTGCTTCATGAAGATTTGCTGATTGATTGGCTGAACCTGTCCAGAAACTCCGTCTTGTTGTGTGACCTTGGGCAGCTCTCTTTTCTTCCGGCCTCCATTACATCGGTCAGTGACAGGTTGGATATGAAGCTCTCTAAGGTTTCGTCTAACTTTGGGGCGCTGGGTTTCTAAGAACTGGGGCACTGTGACTCTGGAGGCGAAGGAGCACACGTCCACACTGCCTGGTCCCCCCCGGCACTGGCTGCTCCAGCCCAGGCTCCCACTCCTCGCCCGCCCAGCCCTTTCTGCATGCAGAGCCCCGTGAGGCTCGGGTACTATGCAGAGGGCTCACTTACACCTCTTGGCAGCCCTGTGAGGCGGGTCCCATGATGATGCTCATTTGCAGGAGAGGAAGTCGGTGGTTTGAGAGGTTAAGCGGCTTGACCAAGGAAGCAGGATCCAAACCCAGGTCTCTCCCATGCCCAAGCTCATGCTCTGAGCCCCTCATTCTCAATCCTGGCGGCACCTCAGAAGCACCAGGGAAGCTTTAAAAAAATACTGATCCCTGGGCCTCACCGCCAGGAATTCTGGTTTAATTTGTTGAGGAGGCCCCTGGTGCTCCCAGGGAGGCGTACAGCAGGCGGAGCCACCGCGAGTAAGAGGGATGTCAGGTCTCTCCTCCCTTCCATGACCAGCCATGAAAAACCAATGATCACAGAATATCAGGTATGAAAGGGCCCAAGAGAAATGGGGAGAGACAGAGAGAGCGGAGATCTCTGGGAATGATCTCATAGAGGAAGACGCAAATATGACCTCCATTTCCCCAGTTTGGACTGATGTTCAGAGAGCTTATGTGTCTTGTCCAAAGTCACACAGTGAGGAAGGAGCAGAATTGATATGTAGACTGAGGTCTGACTCAAGCTGAGAAAGTGGAAAATGGGACTGCGTGGCAGGTGCAAAACACAGAGAAATGACAGTGTGGTGCAAAGGATGAAAAAATGGGGAGACGGATAGATGGAAAACTAGTATGTTCCGCTTTCCCAGCTCATGCACATGTGGTCACATTGTATGGGAGGCGGGGAGACAGAAAGAGACGTGGAGTCAGACACAAACTGGCTTCAAATAGCATCGAAGCGGGGGAACCTTGGACAAGCTACTTGTTCTGATTCTCGATTTGTTTATCTGGAAAATGGAAAGATAATACCCACTTTCCAGGGTTTTGGGAAAGATTAAAAAGGAGACAACAAAAAATGGAAACAATTCAGATGTCCATCAACCAGCAAGTGGATAAACTGTGGTCAACAACCACACAACAGAATACGAGTCAGCAATAAAAAGTAGCAGACTCTGACACCCACAACGTGGATGGACTGCTGATACGTAGAGCATGGGAGGATCTCAGAAACGTGCCAAGTGAATGAAGCCAGAGGCCAAAGAGTACAAACCGGATGATTCCAATTACGTGAGAGTCTAGAAAAAGCTAATCTGTAGTGACAGGAAGCAGATCTCTGGTTATCAGGCTGGAGTGGAGGGATCAGGGTGAACGGGCACGAGGGAACTTTCTGAGTTGATGGAGATGTTCTGTGTCTTGGTTGTGCTGGTGGTAACACAGGTGTACATTTGTCAAGATGGTGCGCTTAAAGTGCATTGTATTGCATGGAAACTATACCTCGACAAAGTGGATTTAATAAATAAATAATTTGTAAATAAACTTTTAAGAAAAAAAAAAACCACCCAGCACAGTGTCCTGCAAATATCCATCAGGAGATCCTGGCAGCTCTCCTTTCCAAGTGAGTCTAGAATCCGGCCACTTCTCACCACCCCCACTGCTACCGGTTGGCTACCGGAGCCCCCATTATCACTCACCTGGATTTTCATAACGGCTGCCACACTGGGCTCCTGCTTCCGCCTTTCCCTCTTGCATCTATTCCTAACACACCAATCAGAGGGAGTCTGTTCAAACGTAGTAAGTCAGATCACAGCACTGCTCTGCCCCTTCTCACTCAGAGGAAAAGTTGAAGTCCTTAGTGGCCCACAAGGCCCTACCTGACTTCATCTCCATCACTCCTCTGTCCTCACCTCCTTCCGTTCTCCCCTTTCTCCCACTGCACTCTAGCCACAATGGTCTCCTTGCTGTTCCTCCCGCACAATAGCCATGGTCCTGCCTCAGAGCCTTTGCATTTGCTGTTCCCTCTGTTTGGAATGCGCTTCCTCCAGCTTTCTGCATGGCTCACTCCCTCACCATCTTCAAGCCTTTATTCAAATGCCATCTCCCTGAAGGCTCCCTGACCACTGTCTTTAAAATGATAACCTCCACCTAAGATCTTATAGCTCCCTTCTTTGCTTTCTTTTTCCTCATAGCACATCTAATATAACATAGTTTGCTTTTTCTCTTGTTTATCGACCGTCTCCTCCCTGGAACGTCAGTTCCGTAGGGGCAGGGATTCCATTCTCTTTCGTTCGCTGCTGTATCCTCAGTGCCTAGGACAGCACCAAAGAGGTCCTCAGTATATGTTTGTTGCATGAATGCATGAATGAATGAATGAACAGTGTGCATTCTATAGCTGTTGATTCTCTCCTTTCTGCTCTCTCCATCTGAAAACAGCTCTGTGAACATGACCAGAAAGGTATTAATGGTTCCTGTCAGAGTCACCCAAGATGACACAACTAGTTAATATGCCAGAGCCGAAACTTACATCCATGGCTGGCTGTGCTCTTTCCACTTGTCTCAGAAAAAAGAAAAAGTATGAAAGGGGAAAGCGAACAAGAAGAGAAGATGGCAGAGAAGATAGTAAGTGGGGGGAAGAGAGAAGACATCTCTGGGTTGGGAAATTAAGTCAATCAATCCACCTTCAGCTTAAATTTGGTGTGAATGGGCTGACACGGTCCCTTTAAGCCCAAGAAAAACTGAGATTGCAACAGGAGAGCGGCTCTTGGCCACCAGTTGGGAGGAAACGGCCAGTCTATATTAGGAAACTTACGAGCAAGTGGCAAGAGGCACAGACACCCAGGGGAGGCTGGGAGTGGCGGGGCCCTGGGAAGGGGAAAAGCCAAGTGCTGGGGCCGTCCCCAGGCTGACTCTCTCTAAGAGAGCACAGTTCTCCCTGGGGACAGGAAGAACGCATCCAAAGAGGGAGAGAAGGAGGACCCTGCCCACAGCTGTCTGGCTAAGAAGGGCCCCTGTGGAAGGACATGCCTTCTGATACCCTTTTGGCTGTCCCCCTCACTTGGCCTTTTAAACCCTGCAGGGCTTCCCACTGCCTTCAGGGTGAGGAGCAAGACCCTCAGCAGCCTACTCGGCCTGGCGTGGGCTGCCCCTGCCCACCTCTCCTGACTCGTCTTGCACAGCTCTCCAGTCACACTCGCCTTCTCACCTCAGGGCCTTTGTACCTGCTTCCTTTCCTCTTCTTGGCATGCTCTTCTCCCGCTTCCCCTGGCCAACTTCTACCAATCTTTCAAACTTCAGCTTAAATGTGCCTTCATCCAGGAAGATTTCTTGAACCCTACACCCTGAGTACTGCCACATGACGTCATGTTACCCTGTACTTCTTGGCACTTTTCCCAATTGCAGTTAAATAATTATTAAGATCATTTGTACACCGTAAGCCTTTCCTACCAGACTTTAGCTTCCAAGAGGGAGGGAGCCATGTCCAGCTGCTTCCCACTATGATCCCAGAACCTAGCACAGTTCCCAGGCCCAAGGAAGCCCACGGTAAGCATCTGATGACTCCGAGTGTCTTCTCCTGGATGACACGCTTCCGTTCTTCCAGGGGCAGGACTCAGCCCGTGGTCACTGCTCCATGGTGATGGGCAGCGGCGGCCAGAGTGTTCAAGTCTAGATTCAGCAGCCAGCTCGAACCCGGGGAATTAGGGGGTACATGTCACAGGCTGGTGAGGGCTGCACCCATGGTAGCTACCATTCTGTCCCTCGGAGGAGGCTCTTGAATTTAATAAAACCTGCATATCGCTTTCTCTCTGCAGTCGCCCTTCTGCTTTGGATCGAATAACCTGGGTTTTAACCTTAACCTTGACACCGAGTAGTTCTAAAACGTGCATGAAGTATTCAAGCCTGCTGAGCCTCAGTTTGTCTTTCTGTAAAATGGAGGTAACGATACCTATTTCCTATGGTCATTCGTTCCTTTGAATTCAACAAGTGTTTGCTGTGGACCCTGCCTTCTTGGTGCTGGGTGTGGGGGACGCAGCGGTGAACAAGTAGACAGATCCCTGCCCTCAAGGGGCTTGGAGTCTAGTGCCAGGAACAGTCTAGATTTAATCAACCATCACAAAAATAAACATTAGGCAGCCCCAGCCATGGTCCAGAGTAATGGTGGTCCAGGTCCTGGGTGACAGGAGAGTGGGGAGGGTTGGTTGACCAAAGATTAAGTGAACTATATGTGAGGCAAGCAGCATATAGTCGGTGCTCAGTAAAGGCTAGCTTTTTGGCAGGTCAGAGTCTTTGCTCAGAAAAGCTGGCCCAGAAAGGATTAACTGGAAACATGCAAAGGAGCCAGAGAGGACAGAGAGAACTCAGACGGAGGGAATGAGACCAGCCCCGATTTTCTGCCTCTGCCTGGTGGCTTGTGAGGGAGCAGGCATGTGCCCGGAATGCCCACCCCTGACTCAGGAGGCCTTAGAGCCTGCGTCCTTGGGAGGAAGAAGATTTGGGGGTCTGTTCATCAGTGAGACCTGCCTGCACACCCCCTGAACACACACAACAGAGCAGTTTCTGGAAGCCACGTCTATAGTGCAAGACCCGCCCTCTGGCCAGAGATTATGACTTGATTGGCATGGATACTGGACTGTTTAAAGGACCTCAGGTGACTGTAATATGCAACCTGGGTAAGAGCTGTAAGACGTGTCCACCGACCTCCTATCAGCCTCCGGACGTCAGTGTCCCTGGAGGACTGAACAGAGATGGAGAGACGAGGAATCAGGCCCAGCTCGACTCCAGGGTCCCCACTGCCTATGGAAGTCCTCACCTGACAGTCCAGTGTCTTCATGACCTGGTCCCAACTCCCCTTCCCAGCCTTGTCTTCCCAAACCCTCCAAAGCCCAGCTTCAAAGCCACCTCCTTCAGGAAACCTCCCCAGGACTCCTTCCTCCCTCCAAACTCTCATTGCTGGAGACGTTTGTCTCTTCTTCTCTCTGATGGCAGCTATCTTGCCTAGATCTTGTCTGTTTTGTCTAACAGCTGTCCCCGATCCTTCTCCAAGTATTCTCACATAGTCTCAGATGTTAGCACAAGAACTTTGGGCAGGACCATGGAAGTGTCATCAACAGATTTCAGACTGGATTTAAGATGGAGCCTGGCAGGTAGGAGAGTGAGCACCAGAGAGTCCGGGGGTCAGTGGCTTTCATCCAGGCATACCAAAACCGGAGCAGGTAAACCAGGAACGCACATGGTGGCGAACATTCATGCCCGTGCCACAGACACCCATATAGATGCCCCTGGGTATAGGGGACCATCCCAGCTTGGCTCTAACCCATCTTGATAAAGACCATGGACCCAGTGTCCCAGAGCAAGCAAGTCAAGCCTGAGACATCTTTAGGGGCGGTAAAGAATAGTGGAAATTGCTTGGGCTTTGGACACAGATAGACCTGATTTGGAATATCTCTTTAATCCCCCACTCCTCTTTATCTGCACCCATCCATCTGGTCCAGGCCGCGGCAGTTCTCCGAGGCTCACCACACAGCAGCTTCCCCGCTCTCCCACCTCCACTGACATCTGCTTCAATCTACTCTTCGCTGCTGCCAGAGTCGTCTCCTTTATAAGATGCAGATCTGCTCAGGGTGCCTCACCTAAAACCCTGCAATGGCTTCCCAGTGCCTGGAAGGGGGACTGTCTTGGGTCCCTAGGAAATGTCGTCTGCGACTGAGATTGCATGTGGGTGATTTTGCGGGGAGTGCTCTCGGGATGGGCACCTGTAAGGAAGGGAGCAGGCTTCAACGGTGGAAGAAGTTGAACAGTTCCAGCTGAGCCTCAGCTGACCCCACGGGATCTCTGGAGCTGGGATGGCCCTTTGGAGTTGTCCCAAATCAAAGCAAGGCGGCCAGGTCTGTGTGCTCCTGTATCAGCCAGTCATCAGCTGTGGGTTGCCCCCAGAGTAAGGCATCTCCCTTTGACAGACACCAATGCCCAGTTAGGGGCCATCAGCAGCCAACACTCCCGGCAGCTGGAGGAATGAGGACCCTGGTCCTGAGGGGTGTCTGAGGGTGTCCAGCAGAATCTACCATAAGGATAAAGTCAGAACTCCTCACTGTGACCCACGAGGCCCTCATGGTCCGGTCCCAGCCATCCCTCCATCCTCATCTACCCCACTCTCTCAATCTCTGTGCTCCAGCCTTTTCTGGAATATAACATGCTCCATTCCCACCTCCAAGCCTTTGCATTTGATGTTCCTTTTGCCTGGCACAGTGTGGCTCCCCTGTCACCCAGATAACCTTTCTTCATCCCTCAGATCTCAGCCTCAACATCACTTCCTCAAGGAGGCCTTTTCTGATTACCCCACCAGGCTAGGTTCCCCCTTATCAGCTCATAAACTCTCCTACTTGCCCTTCCAATTACTTATCCCCTGTTGTAAATAGCCAGCTGTTCGGTGCTGGTCTCTGCTGTTAGAATGCGTGTCCTGAGGGCAGGGACTGAGGCTGCCTTGCTCACCACAGCATCTCCAGCGCTCGGTGCGATGCCTGGCACATAGGAGGCATTCAGCAACACTGTCAGGTGAATGAGTACAAGGCCTTGGACGAGTTCTCTGTGAGTCTCTGTCGGCTCAGTAAAGTAAGCACGGCAAGCGTATTTTGCCAGGTTGCTGTGAGTATTACGTGGGTCGTCTAGCAGAGACCTTAGACTCTCGACTGATGCTGGGTCCCTTCACTCAGGGAAGTGAAGTCACCGCAGGGACCAGTCGTCTCCGTTTGCCTGAGACTGAGGGGCGTCCCGAGATGCGGGACTTTCAGTACTAATACCAGGATGGTTCCCAGGCACACGGGGATGGTTGGTAGCCCTAAGTGTGGGTGAGAAGGGAAGAAGGGCTGTTCGTATTCACACACTGTTCACTGGTACACTGGTAAACAGCTCGTTGGAAAAACAATCAACCCTGATTCATAGTGTTGGCCAATTTCCATCATAGAATTATTCGCACCATTGCCAGTCAAGCTACCAACAGTGGAACAGCCTACTTGCAAAGTCTCTAAAAATTTAACAGTGGGCTCTCATGAGCCGGTAGGAGCTGGTGCCAGCACCCCATACTTCATACAGACTGTCACGTGCCTGGTATCTGCAAATGGTCACCGTGGTCATAGACAACCTCAACTCGGGTAGGTGAGAATATTTCAATCCTCAGAAGGTGACAGTGGAGTGGACCTTGGAGACCATCTAGCCCAAGGCAACAAGTAATCTGTCACATGAACCGTCTCTTCCCCATCCTGTGACCACAACAGACGTTGCTAATCCACCCTGATGCTGAGTACTCATGTGGCCAAGCAGCCTCCCCTCATCACATCTCCAGGCAGCCATAGTCAATGAGCTGGTGTTGCTTGTGAAAGAAAATCAGCTTACTATTAGGAGTAAGTACAGTTCAGTCATTTCATTATACAAAGGAGGAAGCTCAGGCACAGAGAGGTAGAGGGACCTGCCCAAGGCCACACAGCCGCCTGGTAGCTCAGTAGCTCAGCTGGGACTAAAGAACAGATCTGCGGCCTTGCTTGCCTTTCAATTCTGCCTTGCCTTGAAGAGCTGAATACCCCAGAGTGCGGAGGAACAAAGGGAGATCATTTGGGATCTGAGCCTAGATTCTAGAGAATTCTGCTTAGAGCCCCCAAATGCTTTTTTGTACCCTAAGACTTCTTACCATGTCTGTATATAAATGTTATTTATGTGTTGGGACAGAGGGCACTTTTTAAAAAATTACAAAAGTCACATGCTCATTGCATAAAATTCAAAAAGAAAGGAGTATTTAAAATAAGAAAACCCTGTACTGTCTCCCCAGGGGTAATTGCTGTTAACAATTTAGGTCCTTCCAGGCCTTTTCCATTCATTTACAAGCCTATGCATGAAACAAATAACAAATAGACTAAAAGGTCAGCTGTTCCCCGCCCTACCACTATCCCCATCACTCAGAACACTGCCTAGCAGGCAGTAGGCTCTCAATAAGTATCTGTCCAGTGGCTCTTTTTCAGTTAAAATGTCTTCCATTCCTTTCCGTGTGAGTAGAGTGGGTCTGCCTTTGTCTAAGGGCTTCAATACTTTATGGCGTGGTCTCAGGAGCTCGTGTAACAGTCCCTTTGGGCGGGCATTTAGACTGCACTCTGTTTTTCCTGTAACAATCCCAAGGCCTTGCTCTGTCCCCACTGCAGGGTGGCACCAAAGTCTCTTCCCATGGCTCCAAATGCTGCCGCCTGTCAGTGCGCCGCTGTCTCCGGTTTCCCAGGATCCCCCATCAGCGCCCCAAAGCAGAGAAGCCGGTGGCATTTGCGACCAGCTCCCGAGAGCAGGGTCGGGTTGCAGCAGGTGTAGGACAAGTCCCTGCAGCCTGCAGGGTTCCACCACCCCCACGTCCCGAGGCTGCTGCCCCGGATGACGCCCCACAGCTCCAACGAGAAGCCAGGGATTAACCAGGTGACGCTGCCTGGTGCTGACAGCCCAGGGGCCCGAGTCAAAGCCCCTTCGCCAGGCCCCGGGTCAGCTCAGCAACCCTGAGGGCCTTGGAAACCAGAAATAACTGGCTGTTGGGGAGGCAAAAGGGATCAAGGGGAGAGGGTCTCAGTTCAGAAGGAGGCCCCTCTGTTTGTATGCAGCGCTGCCCACAACCCTCATGCCCACGTGGCACATCTAACAGGCCTCTGTCACCCACGATGTCCAACACCAAGCTCCAGACCTTCCCCCCCGCACCCCTCATCCCGTCTCAGTTCAGGGCAACGCCATCCTTCCATGGCTCAGGCTGAAGCCTTGGAACCATCCTTGATTCCTCTTTCTCATGCTCCCCCATCCAATCTATCAGCAAAATCTATCAGCTCCACCTTCAAAATGGATCCGGAGTTCAACCACTTGTCTCCACTCCTGGTGACAAGATGGTGGTCCAGGCCATCACTGTTTCTCACCTGTTTTATTGCCATAAACTCACTAAGTGGTCTCTCTGCTTCTACCCTTTTCTGTATCACCTCCTGTCCCCCTGTCTCTCAACACAGTAGCCAAAGGAATCCCTTTAAACGAAGTCAGATCATGTCACTTTGATGGTCCCCGTTTTTCTCCAAGTAGAAGTCAAATTCTTACAACGGCCTGCAAGCCTCTGCATGAACTGCCCCTGCTCCACACCTTCCTGGCACATACTGTCCTCTGTACATCCCATCATGGGCACATACTGTCAGGTTGTCCTGCCATCAATGATAAGGAATTGGATGACTTTGTTAAGATGTTATCTCTAAGGGATTCAAACTTCATTGAAAATAAAAGTAATAAAAACATTGTGCATGCCATACAGCATTCCCGGCACAGCTGTGTGTAGCCCTCAGGCCTTGGCGTGTGGTCCCCATTCTACACGGTCCTTAGCGATGGTGTCCAGAGCTTGAACACCTCTGGGCACAAGGTACTACCGCTTGCATGAGGGGAAGGGGTTCAGGAGTTCCCACTGCCCCTGGATGGCTCTATGGATTTTGCCAGGCGGGTCTTGGCCACTCAAAGCAGTTATGTGGGAGCCAGTCGGGGTCCTGGATGTTTCGCTCGTTACCGGACCCAACTGCCCACCTTCTCTGTAGCTCTAGCTTGGAAAGGGATAGGAGAGAACAAGGACAGCCCCCGGTCCTTGGCAGTCAGCAACCCTGTCCCCTTACCACACACGGCACCCTCAACCAGGGCCCTCAGAAGATCAGACTGGACATTCCTCAAAAGGGTGTGGCCGCAAGGGCTGGTCCAGGGAACAGCTGCTGGGGACATGGAATTAGCAGACCCTGGAAACAAGCAAGCTCAATGAATCCCGAGGGCCTGGCCTTGGACAGGGGCACGTCTGCAGACACTTGGCCAGCTGGACTCACGCATCACAGAAAGGAAGGCTATAGAGAGGAAAGGCTAATTATGTCCACTTCCCTGTCTTGCTGAGGGTCCACTCTGCTCCCCAGGGTCCCAGAGAATGCCAAAAGCTGCCACGACAGCAACTCAGCTGGCTGTTGTATTGACCCCTGGCTGTGATCTGGGATGAGATTTTCAAGATGAGGTTAAATTATGCTGATTCTACATTCGAAATGGAACCGTGCCTGGCATGGGTTCCATCTACACTGGCAAGACTCAAGGCAGAACGAGGGCCGGGCTGATTAACTGCTCCAGAGTCAAAATCCAGTTTTTGTGCTGAAATATTCTCTCCAAAATAGGGACAGCTGAGGTTCAGGCCATCCTGAATCAGTTCACTCTTTGGAGTGTGAAGGAAACACAGAAAAGAAAAGATCTGTTTCAGCGTTTTCCATGTGCCAGGCATTATTTAAGTGCTTCTTCTGTATCAGTTCACTTCATTTTTCAATCATATTTTGAGGGAGATTCTGACATCCGTAATGGAAAGAAGGAAATGGAAGCTGAGAGAGGTTACATGATGTGCCCATGTTCATAGAACTGAGAAGTGGCACAGCTGGGATCTGAACCCAGATCTGGCTCCTGGAAGCCCCAGGTGCTTAAGTACCACGTGCCTCCTTCGGTATCACCAGACTCTCTTAGGACGTCTACACTTGACGTTTAATAGCAATCAAGAAGTTTTAAGTTGAAAGACATTCTTTTTAAATCTAAAAAACAAAAACAAAAAAATCACACTAGAACTAAAAAATTAATTTAGCAAGGTGAAAGGCTTCAGAGTCAATATGTAAAAATAAGTGTATTTCTACTGCCTCACGATGAAAAATTGGAAAAATGAAATTTAAAATGTAATTTACAATGTCATAAAAAATACTTAATTTTACTCAACAAAAGATTTGTAAGACACTGAAAACTCCAAAACATTGCTGAATGAAAACTAAAGAAGACGTAAATAAATAGGGATATTTTCCTTATCTATGGATTGGACGGCTCCCTGCTGGTAAGATGTCCATGCTCTCCAAGTTGATGTATAGATCTAATGCATTTTTAATCAAATTCCCAGCCAGCCTTTTTTGTAGAAATCAACAAGCTGACTTTATAACGTCAATAGAAACGGAAATGACCTAGACTAACCCAAACAGTCTTGAACAAGAAGAACAAAGTTGGCAGATTTACTCTGATTTAAAAACTTAATATAAGCTCCAGTAACCAAGGCAGTGTGGCATTGGCACAAAGATAGACAAATAGATCAATAGAAAAGACACTTCTTCGGGGAGCAAATAAATAAATAAATATGGAGGTTAAGTTGCTTCAAGAAACACATATCACAGACCCAGATAATGTGACAGCAGGTACTGCGCAGGCCCCGATCCTGGCAAATTCGTTCAGCTCCCATGTTCAGGCAGTGGGGCTAAAATGAGCTTCAGTCATCAGCTTTGGGCGGGAGAAAGAAAACTGTATCCAGAGCCCAAAACCTTGGGTTTTTGATCCATTTATCATAGTTAAACATAAAAATATCATCTTTTCAGCATGTAATCATAATAAAAGTACTAACCACATGCCAAAATCTGTTCCAAGTGCTTGACATATATCAAGGCATCATTTAATTCTCTCCAGAAGATAGAATAATAATTCTATCAACAAGATCAAATAAAAGAGAAAATAGCAAGTCCCACAATAGGAAGGGAAATATTGTTTTGTAATGATTTGTTTCAGTTTTACATTTGTGTGCACGTATGCATAGAATTACAATGTGAAATACGTATCTTACAGGGTTGTCATCATAAAAATGTGAAAGCCATGAGTGTAGTAGATGAGAGAGTTGTTCAGTCTAAATAATGGGATGCATGTAAGAGTCTTAGCACAGAGCCTGGTACATAGTAAAGACTCGATAAGTGGCAGATACAGTCATCACTGTTGTCAGGGTCAGCTTCGTGGGCATTCACTCCGTGCTGTCACACAGGGCTCTGCTCTCAGAAGGAAGTGCACTTGGTTTAATGTTCTGTCGCCATCTTGAATTCCTTAATGATTTTGAAGATGGAACCCTGCATTTTCATTTTGCGCTGGGTCTTACAAATGACATAGCCAGTGCTGACTATTTGTATAGTTGTTTATCACTTATGAAAATATTTATAACGTGAAATATTTAATAACCATTTCTTATTATCAAATTCTATCTCTGCCTCTTACTGGCCAGAGGACGATGAGTGAGAATACTTAAATGATCTGTGTCTCAGTTTCCTTGTCTATAAAATAGGGATAATAACAGTACCTCCCCATAAAGTTGTTGTCAAGGTTTAAATAACACAGCGTATGTCAGATGCCAAGGACAGCACATGGCTCATGGTAAGCCCTCCAAAAATGTTGGCCATTATTATTATTAGCTTTATGAAAAAAAGTCAACCTTGGGCCTGGTTTTCCCACTGCACATCTTGGGGGGCATTACTGAACCAGATCAGTGGTTCTGGAACTTATTTGAGCACCAGGTTACTTTGAGAATCTGATGGCTCTCCGAGGAAATGCCCCTAAGAAAACCACAGGCTGTCCATGCGCACACGCCCACATCTTGCCTGCACGCGCACATCTTGCCTGCAATTTCAGCGCGTTCATGGGCCTCTGAGGCCAAGGCACAGGTCCCAGATGAAGAACTGCGGAAAGCAAAGATCACTAATGGCCCTTCTAGTCCCGGGGTCTGTTGGTCTCTGGGGTGGGAACAGCCAGGCAGCCACGCAACACATTACAGGTTACTACTTAAGGGTCTGGTGTATGCTTGCTTTGGCACTTTAAGTCAGTGGCTATTTTTAGCTTTGCTATATATGGCCAGGGGAGGAATAAGCACTATAGGTGGGGGAGGGGGCCCAGGAGGCTCACAGCAGAGCTGGGGAGCCGGAGCTCCTTTGCCTTCGCCACCTTCCCCTTCCTGCCAGAGAAGTGGAGAGCTTAACCTCCAGCCAAAGTGAGCGCGGAGGAGAGGGAGGGGCTGTGGAGGTAGGAATGGCAGGGGCTTCGATGAAGATGCCAGCTGAAGTCACTTTACAACAGTGCTTTTCAAACTTTTTGAGCATGACCTGCAGTAGGAAATACATTTGACGTCGTAACACATACATAAACACAGACACTTGTACACACACACACACACACAATATCTACATATATCTCCAACTGAACAAATGTTTCAGGATACAGTGCCTTACCTTATTTTCTGTGAAACACTCTGATGTTTTCTATTCTGTTCTGTTCTGTTCTATTCTAATCTGTTCTCTTCTATTTTTTCATCTTAAAAAAATGCAGGTCATGACTCACTAAATTGTTTTCACCACTTATTAATGGGCGACACCTCCAGTTTGGAAAACTTTGGTTTAGAGAAGACGGTCACCGGCAACATTTGACTGCGAGGTAACGTGGGGAGTGGAGGAAATGGGACATATTGTCCCTTTGATCAATACTTCTCAAAACTGGAGATAAGATGCCAGTTTCAGCTTGCTCTCCCAGCTGCACTGCAGAGTGTGGACGTCCTGGTTTTTGTACGCTCTGTTCTCTCCACCTGGAGCATCCGTCCTCCACCCTTGTTACCTGGCTCACTCCAGACTTCAGAGCCCGGCTTGCCTCTTACTCCAGGAAGCCTCCCTTTACGCCTAAGTCTGGTTAGGTGCCGGCCTCTTGCTCCCTTCATCCCCGGTATGCCCCTGCCTAGCATCCAACATGCTGTAGTACAATTTCTTGTTAGATTCTCTGGCAGGCAGGGGCCTTCCCCATTCTGTTCATTTCTACACCCCTCTGCCCCCAGTGTAGTATAGTGCTGGCTTCATAATACTCACTCAACAGTTATTGAATGAATTGATGATAGTTAGTAGTAATAATAGCAACTACCATTTATCGAGTACTCCTTTATCCCACGAGAAATCTTATGAGAGATTAGTACAAGTCCATTTTATTGACGAGGAAACTAAGGCTCCAAGAGATTAAGTAATATGGTAAGGCCAGAGCGATAACCCAGGGCTGCCGACTCGCAACTGCTCCTAATCTCAGGATCTCATTTGTCCACATTCCCCTCAGCACTACACAGGATGGGGCAAAGGGCAGGTCCTTAACAAACCCTCAGGGTACTGATGACAGGTTGATTAACGAGATTTTCCGAAGCAGTGGCCACATCTAATTTTGGAGTGCTGCACCTCGTGTGTGGCTTTGGAGAGAGGATCTGTGAGCTTTCCTGGCCCCTGGATGTGGGGCCGTCTCGTTAAGCAGAAGAATCTGGGCCTCTGACAAACCAGAGGAGCAGGTCTTCCAGTTTCCTGGCCTGAGGAGCCCCTGGACACACCTAGGATAAAACCCAGGGTCCTGCAAAGCCCAAGTGACCTGGCCCACAACTCCACCGTCAGCTCCTGCCTGTTCCTTTCATTCACTCTATGCCCACCCCTCTGGCATGCTTGCTGTTCCTCAAACATGCCAAGCCCAGTCCTGCCTCAGGGCCTTTGCAATTGCCATTCCTTCTGCCTGGAAGTCTTTACTGCCTCCCTAGTCTTCCCCATCCTGCTTCTCAGACCACCCTATTCAAAAATATCACCCTCTTCCTTCTCTGCTATTTTTACCATCATATCAGTAACTTCTGGAAATTACATGTATATTTGTTTTCCAGTTTATTTCTGTCTTCTTCACTAGACAGGGAGCTCCCTGAGGACTTTGCTTGCTCCCTGCCCTGGCCCCTGGACCTTGCTGCGGCATGGTGCCTGACACAGTTCTTGCTCCATAATGTTGGTCGCATGAATGAATGAATGGTTTTCTCCTCTTTCCGACATAGTGGGAGATCAGTGCAGAGTTTCCCAGAAATGTGTGTCCCTGTGACTCACATCCAGGCCCTCACACACACCCTGGTTTGGAGAGGGGGAAGAGGGAAAGGAGGGAATTGTCGGCACGTGCAGACTGCACCACTTTGCTTAGGGAACTGACGCCTGCCGGGCCTTCAAGGATTATCTCCACTCTATAGCCAGAGAGACTGAGGCTTGCTCTCTGCTTGTCCCCAGGGCTTGGCGCAGTGTGGGGCATACACATCTCCTGAGTTGAACTGCACTGAATTGCAGAGGTTCAGCAAACAGCTCGAGGTCACCGAATTAGGAAGTGGGGAGCCAGAAGTTGTCTTCACCTCTGTCCAATTCCAGCCCATGCTGTGCAGCCGCCATTGTGCCCACAGAAATTCCAGGGACAACCCTGTTAACATCCAGACACATTCAAGGAAGGGTCCTCGCCAGACACTCACCAATTGGCAGCCCGGTCAGGAGCCCATCCTGCACCTGAGGCTGCTCTCTGTACGCCCAAAGGCCTCAGTGTGAGCAAACCTTCCACCCTGGGCTGGCTATGCTCTTTCCTGCCCCACCCCCAGTGCCCTCCCAGACTGCCCACCTCCTGCCCTCACCATAAGGAAGGGAGACTCGTGACAAATATAATATACCACGATGCCTTATGATACCAAATATGTTTTTGTAATTAGCCATAGTTTCGAGTTATCTGCGTCAGCTCCTCTTCCCAATGGAGCACGGGAGGGAGATTTCACAGAATGATCCTGAGCTGGAAGGAACCTGAATGAACATTTGAAGTAGGACCTGGCAAACGCTTCCTGTAAAGAGTCGAATAATAAATATTTTAGGCTTTGTGGGCCAAGAGGCAAATTTGAGGCTGTTACATAGGGACTTTCATAGAATTTTAACTTGTCACAAGATAGTGTTCTTCTTTTGGGTTTTTTTCAAACATTTCAAAATGTGAAACCATTCTCAGTTCACAGGCTGTACGAAAACAGGCAGCAGGCCAGGCTGGCCCACTATCTGTAGTTTGCAAGAAACTGATTTAAAGCAATACTGCTTCACCTTTAATGTGTATAAAGATTGCCACATGGGCTTGTTCAAATAGATGCCTTGGCCCGCCCTCAGACAGAGTCAGAATGCTTCTGAAGGCCTGAGTGGGACCCCTGGATTTGCTTTTCTAACTGGCGGACAGATGATGCTGATGCTGCCTGTCCACTGACCACATTTTGAGCAGTCCTGATATTCTAAAACACCCCATTTATGGATGAGGAAACTGAGGCCCAGAGAAGTGATATGTCCAAAGTTACACCCAGTGGAGGAGGTGCTGCTGTCTGCTCTGCCCCTTCCCAGGGCTCTTTTGCCGCAGGAAATTCCTTTCCGTGTCCTTAACCCTCTGAGCACTCATGCTTCTGAGCTTTTCACTCCTTCCTCTCTGTCCCACTCCCACCCCAACAAAGGAGATGTTCCCATCGAGATCCAGCTCAGATGTCACCTGTCCTAAAGCATTCCATGATCTCCTCACATCTAACTGCCCTTTTCTGCCACGGCACTCTGTACATACAGGTGTGCAGTTATTTGTCCAAATGCCTATCTTTGAAGCCACGGGCTGTGTCTTATTCACCTTTATATCCAACCCTTTTACAATGCCTGGCAAATAGGAAGTGCTATAGAAATACACACTGAACAAAAGGACACATGGATGGATGCTTGGATGGAGGGATGAGTGGGTGGGTAGATGGATGGATGGATGGAGGGATGGAGGGATGGGTGGGTTGATGAGTCAGTGGGTGGGTGGGTGGATGGATGGTCGATGGATGGATAAGTGGGTGAGTGGATGGATGGATGGACGGATGGGTGGATGAGTCAGTCAGTGGGTGAACGGATGGATGGATGGATGGAGGAGTGGGTGGGTGGATGGATGAATGAATGGACACTTCATGATCTATTGTTTGAAAATAATTTTCATGGCAATGTTGAGCTTAGCAAACTCTTGCAGAGCACAAGCGAGAGTATATTCCCCAGCAGTTGGTATACCCAGCATGCAAACAGTAGCAGTTACATCTTATTGAATGTGTGTTGAGCATGTATCTCTACGGCAGGGCTTCTACTAAGCACTCCTGCCAGTCTTCTCAATAGCCCTGGTTATTGGCACTGCCTTTACTAACAAGGAAATGGATGCTGAGAGAGGTAGAGCAGCTTGCCCAATGCCACACAGCAAATAACATCCTGGCCCCTCTGATTCTGTGCCACACTGCCCCTTGCTCTTCCCATCCTCCACCAGTGTTCCTCACCCCATCTGGCTCCTGCCCCAGCTCTGCGGGGCCCAGGCTGGGCTCACCTCCATCCGCATAGGTCTCGGTGCCGTAGCCGTCCTGCAGACCATTGTTCCAAGTGCCCTCATACTTGGCACCGCTGCTGCTGCTCTGCCGGGTTCCGTACCGCCCCTTGAAGCCGTGGGTCCACTCGCCCTTGTAGAGCCAGCGTCCCTTGGTCTCTATGCCCAGCCCGTGCCGTTTGCCATGGCTCCAGTATCCCTCGAAGGTGTTTCCGCTGGGCCAGGTGTAGACACCCGCCACTTCAAAGCCAAAGTTCCAGGAACCCGAGTATTCGCCCTGGCCCTTGGGGCCCGTGCACAGTCCATGTCCGTGGGCCTTTCCCCCCTCCCAACCCCCACAGTACGCCCCGCCATCATCAAAGTCAAAGCGGCCCCCGCTCATCTCATCATAGCTCCTGACGACCTCGCCGTCCTCCAGCTTGGGGGAGAGGGCGAAGGGGTGCCAGCGACACTCTCCAAGCACGCTCAGGGCGCAGGGCTGGGCCCCCCACTCACCACTGCCACAGAGCCCCAGGAGGGGGCACGCGAGATGCCAGCAGAGGCTGAAGCAGCCCAGGAGCCAAGTCAGCACTGGGTCGGCTGGTCAGTGCCATGCCTGGGAGGCCCCCACTCAATCAGCCAGAGGAAGGCTGCCAGCTGGGAAGGAAGCGGGAGGGAAAGATTCAAAGTCTGCACAGAGCGTCCCAAGTCTGGATTCCATGGAGTCAGAGGAAAACAGTGTGATCCCTTTAAGAAGGCACAGTGAAAGGGGTGGGGTGGGAGGGTCCCCAGTCCGATTCAAAGAGGGGAAATTCCCCTCGGTGACAGCCCCAGCCCGAGGCTGAATTCCTGTAGCCGCTGGCCCCCTTCTCCTCCACCCCAGTGGGTGTGCGGGGCTGTCGATCTCCGGGCGGCCGCCCCGCCCCCTCTCCAATCCTGCCCTCCTCCAGGGATGGAAAGGTCAGTGTTGCCCTAACAAGGCCATTGGATCTCAGAAGCTGCTCCCAAAATAACCCCCTGGCCAGCCCAGCCTCCTTCAAAGCGGGAGGGGTGTTTAAAATTGGGCTAGTGCTTCGGACCCAGGGAGTGGCTGGCGGGATGAGGAAGGGACGCTGAGAACTAAGTATCAGCAGCTGGGGCAATTTGGTGGCTTTTCTCCCACTGGGTAAGAGCTCCCTTCCACCTTCATGGTCCCGGGAGTCTGCGGGGAGGGAAGGGGCAGAGGAGTCAGGGAAGGGAGGGGAAAGGAAGACTAGCGGAACAGCCAGTCCTGGACACTTAAAATCCCCCAGAGCACAGAGGTTGGCAAGTCACAGCCCCAGCACTACTCACATGCCCTAACAGGACCTGGGGTATCGCACGCTGCCAACCCCGCAAAGGAATCTGGTGACCTAAGGAGAAAGGAACGGGGCATGGTTTCACGCAGGCTTTTGAAAGCAGAGGAGGGAACTCGGAAAGAGAGGTGAGGCTCTGGAAACAGAGTCTGGAAGATAGAGCAGATCTGAGTCCAGCACTCACGCACAACCCCCAATTCCCTCCCGCCACCCCAACCCTGGGAAAACCCTGGGAGGAGCCCAGTGCAAAAGGCAGCCACGGTTCCCTATCTGTCTCCTCTGAAGAGCGAGGAGCCCGCCCTCCTCTCTCTGCCTCTGAGACTCAGGGTTGCCCGTTGTGTTGGAATGAGGTCGTCTCAGAAATACTCAAGGATTGTGATATTTTGAAAATATTCCCTTGCCAAGCTCCCTTTCGCTCTGGTGTCCTAAGAGGCTGTGAGGCCAGACTTCAGGGAGCTCTTGGGGCAGGGCAGGAGCTAAGGGCCTGGACGGATGCTCAGCACTCGGGTTCCCACAGACTCTAGAGAAAGGGACGAGTAAATCTCTATGACATGAAGCTGTGGCCAAGGCTAATGACTGGAAATCCCAGCTGAGCCCAGGGTTAACAGGAGCACAGGGCAGTTCTGGGAAAGGTACGGGCCGCTGAGAACAGGAAGCCGGGTGTGTGTGAGAGAGAGATGGGAGAGGGGGAGGAGAGAAAGCACTAGAAAAAGGCACTTGAGAACATCAGACTATTATCTGACATACTCCAAATCCCATGACGACTTAAGACTCTGCAGATTTGTTCTTTCAGGAATGGAGAGGAATGTTCTCTCCCTTCATCCCAGCTGGTTCCCAGTCCTCACGACACGGTTCCTCTGTGGTTCACAGCCCCCTGCCTTGGAGAGCCCCTTCCGTGTCCACCTTTCACCCCAGGTGGAGACACCAGCCTCTGAGCTCACTATCCCTGGTTGTGTGCCAAGCTGACAGGCAGCAAATGGCAGTGGGTAAAGACTGTATCCTCTGGGTTCTGACTCACCACGGGCCAGGCTGGCCGACAGCCTGCTCGCACGATTCCCTTCTAAGAACTCTGCACTGTTGCCCCCGGAGAGTTCTGTTTTTGCCGCTTCTCACCGAGGCCTTTGGAGAATCACACGTTTCTTTCCAGCTCTGCTCTCAAGGGGAGAGGAAAGAGCATCTCACACTGGAAGCTAGAGGAGTTTGAGTTGCCCGAGTTCAAAACCCTGTGTAGCTAAAGGCCAGGCGAATGCCGGTAATCCTGTGCTGAGGCTGAGTGGTTGTTCTGTCCTAGTGAGCGGTTCCACCTATGGAAATGCAGCCACTGTTCATCAGTGCAGCTCCCTGTGGGGTTCCCACCACCGGTGGGTACACACAGGAATCACCTGGAGAACTTAAAAATCAACAGATTCCAGACCCCGATCCCCAACCCCAACCTACTGAATTAGATGGTCCTGGGAGAAGCCTTGGACCCTTACATTTTCTTAAAAGCTCCTCAGACGAACCTGCCTTTCACTCCTGGTTAAGAACCACTGCATGCTTTCAAATTAAGAAACTGTTTCTTAATAACACTTACAAATTCATGAATCCACTTATTTACCATCGGCTGTGTAGAGTAGATAGTTGTGGAGTTAGATGTGTGTTCAACTCCCAATTCTGTCCCTCACAAGCTGTGTGACGTTGGCCCAATCATTAATTTCTCTAAACCATAAACTCTTCATCTCTGAAAGTACCTATCTCAAAGGATTATTACGACTCGGGGTAACTACCTTACACGGCTGAGTAAGGATTACGTGAGTTAACAGTGTGAAAGGCTTAGAACACACCAGACACCGAATAAACGTTAGCTATTAATATTCTTCTCACATAACAAGTTGCTTTTCACACTAACATGCTTAATAAAAATAGTCACCAAAAAGGGAAGAGAGACTCACCCCTCTTAAGTTCCTTGATAGCGAAGCTCTCCTTACTGTGCAATCCGTGTTTACTCAACATTACCTCGTGGTTTTTCATTTTTTTTAAATGATAAACTGTTATTGGTAAAGGGACACTTTAATTTCTGAAGTTTAAGTAAACTCTTTGCCAAATTTGGTCCTGCCTTACCTGACCAGTGAACTTTGTGACCAGCCTTCATTTTTGCGCCCCGCCCTTTAAAGAGGTTCGGGTCGGGGAAAGGGAGACCCCTCGTGGCCATATGTGTATGACAATGGATTTTCCTTGAGAAAACCAGGTTCTTCAGACTGGATGGAATTAGCTAAACTGGGAAAGAAGTTGACACTGTTTTTAAACTAGCTATCGCACTCTCTCTCTCTTCCGGGTCTTTCCTTGCTCTGTGGTTCTGTTCTGTGGTCAGAAGGGGCAGTCACTTGCTGCCTCTCTTTCCTTCTCAACTTCTCAGGCGTGGCTGCTTCCTAGGGAGCACCGAGGGGAGGGAACTGAAAATCCAGAACAGAGAGGCCTGAGCACAGAAACCCACTTGAGTTCTTCTCAGCCATTGAAGGCTCAGCTGAAGCAGCTTCACCTCCCAAGACAAGTTTCCTGGCTGGGTCAGGAGCCTTCCCACATGCTGGCTCCTCCTCCAAACTATGAAGTGTTTCAAGCAAGGATTAGCTTCATTCCAAAAAAATGCATGAACACCTACTAAGTGCCCGGTACTCTGGCTCATCTTTGTAGGCCCAGGGCTTGCACATAGTGGGTGCTCCTCATCTTTCGTTCTCCACGGTATTTGGCAGCTGACATGTCCCGTCTTGAAATGCTTTTTCACTTGGTTTCTAGGACTCCTTGCTTGGATCTGCTCCTGGCTGTTCCTATTTAGTCTTTTGCTGGTTCCTCCTCATTCCCCTGACCTCTAATACCTTGGGAATATCCCAGAGCTTGGTCCTCTAACCAATGCTTTATCCACATTCACTTGCTAAGCAATCCCCTTTGGTCTCATAGCTTTAAAAAACAAGCATATACTGATGGCCCCTAAATTTGGATCTCCAGCCTGTACCTCTCTCCCGATCTTCAGTCATGTATGCAACCACCAACTCAACATCTCTACATGGTATCTCATAAGCATCTTAGACTTGACAAGATCAAAACCAAATTCCCAATTTCTCCTCCCAGATCTGCTCCTGCAGCCAACTCCTAGTTTATTAAAAGCTTTGGAATCCTCCTTAATTCCAGTCTTTCTCTCACACCCTGTATCCAGCAGCAAATCTCTTCAGTTCTACCTTCAAAATAATTCTGGAATACACCTTCTCTACTGCCAAGTGTCCAAGCCACTAACACCCGTGCCTGACTTACTGCAATAGCTCCTAACTGCCCCCCTCATGGTCCATAAGTGGAGCTAGCGCTCTGGGTAAGGGCAAGTCTGATACCACACCCTCTCCTCCAGGCCTTCCAAGTGGCTCCCTATCGTCTCTGGAGTCAAAGCCTTTCAAGTGGCCATAAGGCCCTCCATGGTCTGCCCCTGTGCCCCATGCTTCTGTGACCTTGCCTGCCTCGAGCTACAGATGTCCTTGCTGTTCCTTCTGCCAGGAATGCTCTTCCCCCAAATAGCCACATGGCTCACTCCCTCCCTTTCTTCAGGTCTCTGCTCAAATGTCACCTTGTCACAGAAGCTTCTCTGACCGCCTGGAATAAAATAGCAACCCCTCCCCCTGCCCCAGTCCTCATTAGCTCCTAATCCTTCTCTCTCCAAAGCATTTCTCTGCTGAGGACAAGGATGTTGCTCTCCTACTGTTCTATGCCCAGCACCCAGCATAGCGTGCCTAGTGTTGTAAGCACTCAATAAGTATTTGTTGAATAAATGAATGAATATTCAATGGATAGTTATTAAATAAGGACACGTCAGGATACTACTTTTCAAAACATCAGAGTAAGAATTGCTCAATCCACAATCTAAATCCGTTTTCCAGGATGCGTCAGAGAAAGATTGGTTCCGTGAGTCGCTCACAAAAGGCCAGCTGTTCCAAGGAGGGACACGTGTTAAAGCTGGTCCAACTGGGCCTGAGCCAAGTAATTTTTAGCTTCAAGATTCATCTTTTGAGGAAGATTCTGAGTGAGATGTAAATACTCACAACTTACTCCCGCGGATGTGGAATGCCTGAGCTCTCATCCACGTTTGGATTTCTTCAGTAGGTTACTCAGCCACTGGAACTTGGTCCTTTTCAATCCTGACACCCCTCGCCCTAACAACTTTGTATGAAAGGAACGTGCATCAGCCTTTACTTTCTGCTGACTGTTCTGTTAATACACAGAATTAAGTAAATAACCAGACCACTGGGTTGAAAAGTGAACTAAAAAGGACTTAGAGACTTAGGAACCAGCTTAATTCACGTAACATGCTAAGGCCGGTTTGCTCCACTACTCTCTGGTAAAAAAGGTGAAGCAAAACACTAGTTGTGGGGGTGAGGGTGGGGTGGTAGGGACCTAAACCAGCTCTCATGGCCTAGGTTAGCGGTTCTCAAAGTGCGGCCTGGGAATCCACTCTTTCAGGGGATCTGCGTGGTCAAAACTAGTTTCATGATATTAACATACGATTTGCCTTTCTCGTGCTCATTCTCTCATGAGTGTGGTTTTCCAGTGGTCACGTGACATGTGACGTCACAAGAGACTGAAAGTAGCAGGTAGGAGAATCGAGCTGTCTTCTATTAAGCCAAACGTTAGACATTTGCAAAAATGTACAACGACACTTTTCTAAATGTTTTTTGTTTTGGAAGTTATTTTCCAATTAAAAATGTTATTTATACTAACCTAAATGGATTTATGGCTTCATTATCTTTAAATGAAGTAATACATATTTTTAAAATTTCTTAGTTTTAATTTCTAATATGGTAAATATCGATAAATATAACCCACATAAACAAAAGCTCTTTGGGATCCTCAATTTCTAAGTGTAAGAGTCTTGAGAACAGGAAGTTTCAGTGCACCCTCTCTAAGCATTAGGAAATCCTCAGGGGCCAGCCCGGTGGCACA